AATAGTAAATTATTAAAATAGTAGTTATTAAAAAAAAAATATTGGGGGGTATTTATTTAAAAAAAAGAAAAAGACATGTTTGTTGTAATAGAAATGAGTTTTGTTCTGTTTGTGAGCAGGTGTGTGTTTGAGTTGGAGATGGAGGGAGTGAAGCAAGCGGCAGTTAGAGACAGCATCAGAGAGCAGTGTGCTCAGCTACAGCTGCAGGCCAGAGAGGGACTGGATGCCATCAGAACCCTGCAGACACAGTGGCAAAGTGTCATGGACTTCAGACAGCTTGTGGTATGTAATTGTATTCCTAACAAAAGACTGAACATTCATAGTCTGGAGATGGTATGTGTGTTTTTCTGTTTAGGACAGAAGACAAGAGCAGATACGGCGCCTGATCAAGGGAAACTCCACTGTGAAGACTGAGTTAACTTGTGTCCATGCAGAGGTATCGTCTCGTGCAATAAATTCTTTAGTTTTCAGTGTCACATAATCCTTCAGCAATCATTCATATGATTTAGTTTTGAAGAAACATTTCTGATTATCAATGTTGAAAACAGCTGTGCTGCTTTATTTTTGTGTAAACTATGATATATTTTTCAGAATACTTTGATAAATAGAAAGTTTTTTTTTTTAATCTGACAAACTTTTGAACAGCATTTTGTGTGTATGTATGTATCTATATATACAACAATGCTTGTTTTTTTTTTTTTCCAGGTTGGACAGTTTGTTCAAGAGAAGCTTAATGCTCAGTTTTGCAATGTGATTAAAGCCAGCAGTGGACTGCGCAACTCTGTGTCACAAGGGGCCAAGCACTTTAGCTGTGTAGCACTGGCTGCACTGGATTGCAGGGTCATGAAGGGGTCAGCAAATCTACCGAAATCCATTTTTTTTCCCTCCAGTGCCTGTACATGATACCATGCCTCACTGGCATTTTCAGTTGCTTTGCAACATGGAGTCAGAGGCTAAAGTTGTTGAAATTTTTCTTAGTTACCATTTGCACATTAATATTGCATTATCAAAGAATCATTGGGGGAAAAAATTAATTGTTCTCTGCGAACTAGTCTTTTTTTTCTAATCAGCAGAGGGCAGAGACCACCAGCAGCTCAGCTTTCCATCCACTGGATACAGTCCCCAGCTTTCCACAAACTCTGTGAAAGTCTCTCATTTCCCATGTATATGGTGAGATGCACACTTAGTCTGTTAATAATCTACATTTATTCATCATCTTTCTGAGAGCCATTTCAATTATTAGCTCATCAAGCAGCAGTTAGTAAGTCCATTGTTTTACCACCTACAGTAAGTGTCACCTTTCTGATGATTGTTCATATCATATACAGTTTAAATATGTTTGTCAATGATGGACAGTTTCCATATCAAGCTTTTTCTTAACCCAAAATGCAGTAAAAACTGATGGTAGGAGTCTCGTCTGTCTTTGTCAGGCTCCAGAAGAGCTGTGGTCTCAGGCTACAACTCTACAGCTGGAGTTAAGAAATCTGCGCAGACTTCTTCAGCTGTTCTCAGAGTCATCAGCAGACCTGCAGAAGCTGACAGCACAGCTACCATCACCTGATCAGCAGAGTATGTCATTATGGCAATGTTTTTTTAACTTAAACCACCTGTTTTTGACCTGTTTTTTTTTTCCTGAATTAAAGTTTTTGTGAATGGTAAAAGAGCCTAGATTCCTTGCTATGAGAGAATGCTATTTTGATGTCTATTTCAGCTTTAGTGCAGCGTGTGAAGATGGTAGATGAAGAGATTCTGCAGACTTTGCTCCCACGGGCCCATGAGCTCACGCAGAGGTGCTCGAAAGGCCTTCTTTACACAGAACAAGTGAAGACTGCCATCACACACTGGTAAGACATGACATGCTCTCAAATGTTTCCAACATGGGCTCTTTGTGGAATCGTCAAATCACCTTTGTTTTTATAGTGCTTCATACAGTAGGGATTGTTTCAAAGCAGCTTCACAGTATTAAACAGGACAGTAACAGAATCAATTATGCTTTATTAAATTATTAACTTAAAAAATGAGATAAAGTTTGAATAGTTTGTAACTAACCGCTAAAGCATCAATACTGATCCCAAACTGTTCAAACTGATTTTAACGCACTGTTTGATTTTGTCTGTGCAGGTGGGAGCAGCCTGGTCAGTTTGCCCTGCCAGAGATGCAGAGAGAGGGACTGACTTTCCAACAGTGGCTTCAACGATGGAAACTGGCAACAAAGGAATCCTGAATTAGTTTTGCATTTGAGAGCAAAGTTTATGTTGGGCAACTTTCTGTGCATAATTTGTATTTCATTTTCTTTCAACTTACTCTTACTTTACACTCAAAATAACCTGAGTAGGTTTTCTTAGTTAACTTTTCTGCAACATATTCAGTTTGTGTTTGAGGATGCATCCTGTTCAAGAAATATTTGATGCACTTTTTCTGGATTTCTCAAATAATTTAATAGACACTGGAATAAAGGAGCAGTTGTATGTCTTTTGTTTTGTGGCATTTTAAATCTCCCTACCGAAGGTAGAAGTTAATAAGATGCAGAATACTTGTGCTGTTACCGGTGTTGTTTTTGTGTGTTTAACCTCAGTACCCTCTTGTAGGAGCTTATGTAATGTTTATGTAATTCTCTTATGAATGGTAACAGTGGTGGTACTTCTACTGGGTTAGACCAAACATTTATATGCAAACACAATTAAAGTAACTTTGTGATGACTGCCTATGGGCATCCAGCTCTTGATGTAATTTCAGGTCATTTCCTGGTTAAGATAGTGTATAATCGGAATGTTCAGTCCTGTGTGGCCCTAAAAGGCTGTGATCGATAACCTGTGTAAATGTACAGCTGTATAAGTGTTTTTGAACAGTGAAATGTCGGGCTGTTTTCAAAGCTAATAAGGAAACTAACAGACTATCGTTCAAAAATCTGCGGTCATGTTTTTGAAAGACATCTCACTCACTAAGGTTGCATTTATTTGATAAAAATACAGTAAAACCGTTATATTGTGAAATAACATTTATCAATGTATAAAACTGTTGCACTGCTTGATGTTTTCGTGGAAATCGTGATTTTTGTTCAGAATTCAAAAGATCCGTTTTTTTTTTTGTACCATTGTAAAAGCCTTACTGTCACTTTTGATCAATTTAATCCATTGTTGCTGAATGTCAATTTAATCTATCACTTAATTAATTGTTGCTGAACATAACCCCAGATAGTTATTTATGTGAGAGTAATGTGTTATAGTCATTTCCGTCTGACATAAAAATGCCATTGCTTTAATACTCCAATAATTGTTTTACGAATTGTTTAAAGACAGAAAAATCCTTAAAAAAAAAAAAAGGCAGCAAGGCAATTATCAGGACTTGCCATATAGATGTTTCTAATCCTCTGTGCATCTAACAACCTTCCAGTACAGATTTCCAAACGCTTTTGTCAGCCGAACCCCTTTTTATTAATAAAATTAATTATTTGCTTTTATGAATGTCAATTTAATCTATCACTTAATTAATTGTTGCTGAACATAACCCCAGATAGTTATTTATGTGAGAGTAATGTGTTATAGTCATTTCCGTCTGACATAAAAATGCCATTGCTTTAATACTCCAATAATTGTTTTACGAATTGTTTAAAGACAGAAAAATCCTTAAAAAAAAAAAAAGGCAGCAAGGCAATTATCAGGACTTGCCATATAGATGTTTCTAATCCTCTGTGCATCTAACAACCTTCCAGTACAGAGATTTCCAAACGTTTTTGTCAGCCGAACCCCCTTTTTTATTAATAAAATTAATTATTTGCTTTTAATCAACTCCCCTAGCCCAGTTTATGAAACTTTTCTAGTGTATGCAAAATCCATTCCATGTCTACTGATTCAAACCTTGTAAAGAACATTCATCAAATTGCAAAATTATTCTCTATAACAAATGACAACAAAGCATGTAATTTTTTTTCAGGGTGTTTTATAATACTCAGTATTAATTTTAAGCAACTGAAGTTAAAAACGGAATTTTCTTTCATATACATTTTTTCACTCTCACAATCAAAAGATCACTCATTAGAATGCTTACAAATGATTCCAGAGGCAGCTGTGTCACATTTTCTTTACACCCTGATTCAATGGCATTGTTTCTGGCTTAAGGCTTGGATAACATGTCATACATAGACATAGACACTTCTCTGTAACCAAAAACAATCACATAAAATCATGAACTGAACTGTACACATAAAAGTAAACATAACATTTGAACTTAAAATGAAATGTCGGGGGGGGGGAAGGAGTTGTGGATGAGACAGTAGATCTTTTGGTGTAGATTGCATGTGATTGATGACATAGATATGTTATAAAGACTCGATCCGCTTTAGCAGCCCAATTATCGTATTCTGGTGAACAGGTTTAAAACTGACACAGATTCCTGAAAGACAACAAAAACGAGAATTAAATTGAGGATATGAACTTGAGGAAAAGCCAGAGTTTCACAAAAATGTAAACAAAAAAAATTCTTAACCTTTGTTGATCGTGTTTTACTAAATACATTCCAAAAACGCAGAGTTTCATCACCTGCACCAGTCACTATTGCCTCTCCATCTGGAGACATTGCCTTCAAGATAAAGGGATAATATCAGTAAACAGCTTTTAAAAATACTTATTTACAATGTGTCACTTGTTAAAATAAAACCACAGAAGTACTAACCAGATAGAGCACCCTGTACGAGTGGCCGGTCAATTTGGCAACTTGAGTGAGCGAGGGGTATTTCCACACGAGGATCTGATTCTGAGAGTAACCGTGTGTGCTGACCTGGAGACAATGGAACAAGCAATAAGACTCACCATCATGCCTGTTTGTCTTATTCTACACTACAGCATTAATGCATGTTATAACCAACAATAAACTTCAACACTGAGCATTTGGTTAGCTGATTAGAATAAACATACCAGTTCATTGGTGTGTTTGGACCAGGCCAGGTTGCAGACTTGTGAGCCTGTGTCGATACACTGCAGTGGCTGTGCTGTAAGAGTGTTCCAGAAGCGGATGCAGCGATCTGCCGTTCCCCCTCCAGAGGCCAGCAGTCCATGCTGGTGAGGAGACCAGGCAATAGCCTTCACTGCGGCCAGGTGTTCTGTGTACTGCTGCATTGGTAACACGCTTGAGTGATTCCACACTAACAGCTGCAGGGATCAATCACAGGAATGCTTTTAGAGAGATGCATTTTGCTAAAAATCTTTTTTTGTGCTAATATATTTGAATATTTTGTACATTTAAATTATTTATATAACAGTCAGGTCACCTTGTTGTCATTTCCTCCGGAGGCCAGCAGCTGATGGTCAGTGCTCCACTTGAGTCCGCAGACCTCTTGTCTATGGCCCTGTAGCCTGCGCTCTGACTGCAGAGGGGGCGTCCTGATATCTCTCTGAAGTATCATCCGGTCCCGGCTGCCTGATGACAGCTGATCTGCATTCCAGGCCAATGCACCTGAGGGCAGATTTTTCATAACAGGTTTACATTACACATACATTTCACTAGAATGTGAAGCACATCAGAAAGTAAATGTCAAAAATGGACTGAAACACTAAATCAGTCCAACAAGAAGCTTAAGAGCAATAGTGAACATATGTCCTACAGTTCAAATGTTTGGGGACAATAAGATTTTTTTTAATTTTTTTTTTTAAGTTTAATATATTTTAAAATGTAATTTATTCCTGCAATGGCAAAGCTGAACTTTCAGCAGTCATTTCGCCAGACTTCAGTGCTACATGATCCTTCAGAAATCGTTCTAATATGTTAATTTGGTGGTCTTACAAATGTTAAACAGTTGTGCTGCTTATTATTTTTGTGGAAAATATGATACTTTTTTTTCATTGAAACAAAATGATGAAAAGAACAGAACTCATTTGAAATATTTTAATGTCAATTTTAGTCAATTTAATTAATACTATTACTTGCTGAATAAAATATTAATTACAAACTCTTACACCTTGACCAATGAATTTCAATGATTTTTCTATAATTTTCCAGTCATTCCATAAGGATTAAAAAAGAAATTCTTACCAACTCTTGCTGTGTGTCCCTCCAAGGCAAACAGCTTTTTGCCGGCAGTAGCATCCCAAATTTGTACAAAGCCTTTGTGTGTACCTACAGCGACAAGATTGCCCTATGAGAGAAGAACGGTCAATCCACAAAATCCAGAAAGCAACTTCTGATAGTCCAAGTCATAAAGGTTAACTCACTCTCTCCGACCAGCCCACGGATGTAACTGAATCACCCTCCACTGATAGGTCACATAGTCGTGTTACCTGCAGACAAAGCAAAGAAAAAAACACACAACTTAGTCCAAGAGTTCACTGGGTATTTACTGACTCTAAATATGCATAAACAGTCAATGTGTCTCATGCATACTTGACTGGTGCAGGCACTCCAAAGATAAACACAAGTCCCCAGTCCAACACTGAGCACATTTAAAGAGGACCAGTCCACTAAGTTGAGGTAGAAATCATCTTGTAGCTCCGGAGCATCTAGCACCTTAAAAGGAATCTTGGAAATTTTGCGTGTGGGTTTTCTTGGTGACCGCAGCAGCTTCTGACTATAAACAAAAACAATGCATGCAATTAAAACAATGCATTTTACTAATCAATCACATTGTTCAGGAGAAGACTCAGCTTACCTTTTGCTGCTAACAGGGGAGAGGGAGTACGGGGAAACACTGTTATCATCGGGTGTGGATCTTTTGGCACTGAGTGAATACTGTACACACAAACACAAAGTAGGCGCTGAAAACACAGATCCAAACACTCATGTGGCATCAAGTGAACAGATCAGCGGATAAGACAGACTTACACTAAAGAGGCTCCTCCTCTCGGGTGTGGAGGGCTGTAGTCTTCTATCTTCTGTTTGAGGATCCAGGACCTTCTCAATCCCAGCACCAAGCAACTCATTCTTCAGCAGGGCAGAATACGCCAAGCCGTCCGCTGTCAGACAAACGACAGAATTTACACGAGTTGCACAACACAAGAGGGTTGAGTATCATATTTGAGAATGTGATCCTTCAAGAATGAGGTTCATTTAAAGTATAGTCTGTCTCTCTCTATAAAGAAGATACCATAACACCAATGCCTGATCAGCTTTATTAATGCAGACTACGCAGGTAAAATCAATGCAATCCTCTTCTCGCTCACCTTTGCCAGTATCTGATGTTGCGTCTTTGGTTTTTTTATTCTGGCTTGGTGACTTTTCATTTTCCTGTAAACAGAGTAAATAAATATGCACTTGACACTTCACATTCCTTTGATTCAAATCAAATGGAAGCTAATTGGAAGCTCCATTACTAGTATTTTTAAAAAATATTTCACCCACATTTATTCTGTGGAAGTTGATGCTCCAGTTAGCTCCAGCTCGAGACGGTATGAATCTGTCACCATGCTTGCTTGGTGATGACAGCGGTGACTCAGGGGTGGGGGTCAGGTGACAGATCACATCTCTTACTTTCTGTATACAAAAAAAGAAGGAATCAGATCAGATCAAATGAATAGTCGGAAATGGATCGTTTTAAAAACATTCAAACTGCACAGAAAAAAATCAAATTTCAAGTCTGCAATATCCAAGACGACAGACTTACCATGGGACTGGTGTTGTCATTCTGGACGTTGATCTGCCGCAGTAACCTGCGCTCGTAGTCCTGATCCATGGATGTGATTCAGAAATCTGCGAATGTGGAGATCCAGGGGCAAGGTGCCTAAAGTGCATTCATGGAAACAACATAAAAACATGTTTAGAAACTATATGGGAGGAACATTATTTTATGAGAAGGTCACAACGATGCAACTATTGTTAAAGGTCTACACTTTTAGGTTGTCTGGTTAGCGAGGCAGAAGGCTGCAAGACTCGTCAGCAGATGCCATCTGTTCAATACCCCATAAACAGGTGTTAGAGAACAGCTGCTCAATCGTCAACTTCCAAACAATAGGAACATAGAGACAAGAATATGCTGGACTGCGATTTCCAGTTCATGACATTTTTATAAAAGACCCAAAGTCTTAAATGCAATCGTTTCGTGGCCTAAGCAAACAATGACATTTTTATTACGGATTAAAGAAGTTAAATGCTTCTTTACTAACAGGAAACGTACAGACAAAATATCAATATAATGTCAGAAAGCAATTACCCCACAGCTGCTCTCAGTCCTGAATGAAGAGATACTAGATTCCTTTGTCAACATGGCTAACTATCAACGTCTGTGTTCATTTATGGAAAAATATTTCAGCGTTATATATCAGCTGACCCAAGGCTATCTAAATGTATACATTAATAAAACAACAGAAGATGTAGTATTGTCATGCACTGATTATTGGTGTTCACAATGGATTACTGAGCAGCAAGTTAGGCTAATCTGACCCCACAAGTCATCGGACCTACCTTGACTACGATATTCGGTGAATTTATAATCTGATCAGCAGAACCTTATCCAAAACAAACGCATCGAGTGTCAACCTTGAAAAAATGAGAATATATATTTCATAATGGATATAAAACACGCCGCGCCGATGCTGTTAGCAAATCGAGGCTGTTGTTATCGATGGCACCGCAAGGGATCATGGGACTGAGTTAAACACTGACGTCACGACATTTGAAACAAAACAAAACAAAAACGTTGCTATGTTTTTAAAAGTGAAAAGATCAACTTCAATTTATTTATTTATTTTTTTTGTACGGGAAAAAATTAATATTGAGCATTTTGTTAAAAAGTGCATACTATATATTATGGAAAGTTTGTGAATTGTATTTATACATTTAATTTTACTCAATTAAAAGTTTAAAAAGTACCATAAATAAATAAATACTTGCATAAAAGTATACATATTTAATTATACTGAAGTGTTCTAAAGTAAAACATTTTTCTTAGCTTTTTTTAATTGAACGTTAAAAACAAAAAACAGTAGTAATTTTCTCATTTTAGTATTTTGATGCAATATCACATTAGGATAAAGAAAAACATTAATTTTATTTTTAAATCATTTGCAAAAGTTTAAGTCGTGATTACTGACATGTATTTTGTACTTTTATGTCTCTAAAAATGTAATAATGTAAAATCTATTTTTTCCCATATAAATGTAATTGAGTAATAGTACACGTATTCAGTTTTGGTTTTAACAGAACTCAAGTAAAACACAAATTATAAGTATAGTAGTGAAGTACTATTACTCAAATACTTCTTGTTTATTGTATAATGCAACCTTATTTTCTTTATACAAAAAGAGGAAAGAGATAAGAGAAGAGATGCTAGGTAAATCAAACGGTAAATTCATAAAATTATATTATATTTCTGTTTCCTTTTCCATTGTTCTAAAAACAAACTTTTATTTTGATAAGAACGCAGAAAGAAGTATACAATTTTGGAAGATGTAGGAAAGATGAGGTGATTTTAAATAGTTTACAATTTGGGCACACAGGACTAAATGTATCACTATACAAAATAGCTAAACATATTACAGGTAAATGTGCTATTTGTGGGGTAATAGAAACTGTTGAACATATAATATTAAAATGTCTGAAATATAATATAGAGAGAATTAAAATGATAAAGAACTTAAATGGTAATAATAAAGAAAAAAAGAAGATAAATTGGATATTAGGAAAAGGATTAAGAGAAGGTAGTAATCAAAGAATAGTGATGGAATATATAGTAGAAACAGGATTAAATAAACAAATTTGGTAGTTAAATAAATAAATAAAGCAAAGGAATAGGGGAACAAACAAGCTGGGTTTTTTTGGCATGGGAGCTGAACACGCAGCAGCCAGAAATACAGCTTGGGTGAGCCCGAAATAAAATGAACAATTAAAAAAAAAAAATTATAATAAATATGAATAGAGGCGGGACCATCATCCATGTCTGATTAGAAACAGTTGGTGGCGGTATGTGCCTATGGTGCGGAATACGCCAAAAAATTCCAAAGAAGAAGAAGAAGATAAGCACACAGGAGACCGGAAGTGGCGCTTTATGCCCGTCATGGGGTTGTGTTTGTTGTGCTGCTGTCCTAAATCACAAAAAGAATACATTCCACTGTGTAGAGTGTTTATTACTACACGTCGCACAAAATGCCACGTTCATACTTGAAAACAGGCGAGGCGAGAGATGCTGCGGAGATGAAATATTTACTTGCATCCAAAATTAGGCGGCGAAAAGAAGAAATTCATAACCACATACTAGACAGGCGAGCTGAAATTCACAAACGAATCATATATCGAAGGCATCTTTTCCTGAATTACCGGAGCACGAGTACGGTAAACAGTAGTTTCTGTATATGTTTGCTACGCATTTTTAAGACACCTGTAGACGTCCTTGAAATCACAATCATGCTCTGCACAGTAACGAGAAGAGTGTGTGCATATTAGTCAAGTTACTTGTATTTATATAGCGCTTTATACAATACAGATGCTTTCAAAGCAGCTTCGCAGTAATGAACAGGAAAATAACAGAATCAGCGATGCAGACTAGTGTCCGTGCAGTGCAGTCAATACATAAGTAAAGAGAATAAATTCCTCATTGAATTTATGCCAGCCTTATTGGCTAAATAATTGCTCATTCATGCAGTAAGATTTAAAGAGAATAAATTCCTCATTGAATTTATGCCAGCCTTATTGGCTAAATAATTGCTCATTCATGCAGATCAAAGATCTTTTTCTGTCAATGTTTTAGTTGCCATCACCAAATGAAGAAGATCTGCAAAATCTTGTCCCAATTCCTGCAGACCCAGGTTGGTGGGAGAGTTGTGATGACTGAGTTTGGACCAGAAGACTGGCTTGACAAGTTCCACATCACAAGAGACATCTTCCTCCTTCTGCATGCTAAACTCAAGCCCCAGCTCGAGCAAGTGTATATAGAACAAAGCGGACAGACCATTACACTGGAGAGATGTATTGCCATGGCCTTAATGCGTTTGTCCACCAGCACAGAATACTGCTTCTTAAGCGAACTCTTCGGTGTGCCCATCCCAGCTGTGTGTCAGTGTGTACGAGAGGTGTGTGAAGCCATCATTTTGTTACTAAAACCCCTTTACATGCAGTTACCTGCAGATCATGAACTTGAAGAACAGGTAGAGCAGTTTCATACTCTGTGGGGTTTTCCTCACTGCATTGGTGTCATCGACTCCCTTCACATCCCTGTTAAATCACCCTCCACGGACACCCAGGATTGCTGGAACCCGAGAGGATGGCACTCTGTGGTGCTTCAGGGTGTGGTAAATGCAAAAGGTAGTTTCTGGGACGTTTGTTCTGGTTTTACAGGCAGCACAGATGACACGACCATCTTGCAGAGCTCAGAGCTGTGGACTATGGCAGAAGAGGGAGGCTTCTGCTCTCAGCCACCCAAAGAACTCCTGGGTCAACCGTTGGGATTTCTGCTGCTGGGGGATGCGGGATGCTTCAGACCTGGCTACTGAAATGCTATCCTTCATCGCCAAATCTAACACCGCAACAGCAAACCTTCAATGTCCAGCTGAACCGCGGCATTAAAGTAATTGAAAATGCCTTCCAGTGCCTTAAAGCACGATGGCAGTGTCTGCACAACAGAAATGACAGCAACATAGACTTGGTATCCAAGATGGCTGTAGCTTGCTGTATCTTGCACAATTTCTGTAACGTGCATAACAGTCCGTTTAAAGAGGAGTGGGTTAAAGCACTCAGTCAGAATGAATGTCCACAGCCCACAGATGTGTCTACGGTCTACATAGATGATCCGAACGCAGAGGCAGTTCGTTCCCTGCTCTGTAGCTACTTTGAGCAAAAACAGCAGCGCAAAACACTAGATCAGTCTCCAACAAGCAGCCCGGTTTTGTCTGTACCTGAGCCACCTCAAGTGGACAATGCTGGAACAGCATAGCTTGTGTATAGACTGATCATTTTATTAGCCTGTTTATAGTCAGTTTGTAGCTGCCATTTAATATGTTACAAAAGTAAGCATGGCTAAGCAGGCAGAAAGTGTTTAAATTGATTGTATTTAAATCCCAGTCTTATATTTTATGACTCTAAGATTATCTGTTTTATTAACTTTTATAAATGAGTGACTTTTAATATGACTTTTAAATCACTTGATAAGTTTTGTTTGGCGTCTAATCTATCAATATTGTAAACAGTGGATCTATATAACGTTCAAAGTGATTTTTTTGTTTTGGTTGAAATAAACAAAAATACTTATGGCAATTCAATGCTTGTTTGAAATTTTGGAGAATTAGGTAAACCCAAAAGGCATCATTTATTCATGTCACATTGATATAAACCTATGTGACTTAATTTTTTCATCCTTGGAACACAAAAGATATTAAATGTCCTGTATTATTAAATGTGATGCACTGTGTGTATCAATCCACATTGACTTTCCTAGAATTTGAAAGTGCTGTATCCAAATTTTCAAAATTTCTCATCGCATGTAAAAGAATACAGCCTTACCAGGTTGAAACAATGTAAATCAGTGGCTCTCAATCAGGAGGCCATGACCAATTAGGAGGCAATATTGTCATTATAACTAATTAATTACCTATTATTATTAATTATTAATTAATCTAAATTAATAAAAAAAAATCATAGTTCTTTTTCCTTCAATAACTATTGGTTATTCTGAGTTACAAATAGTTCTTTAAACCTGTGATTAATTTACAGCTTCAATGCTTCCTGTCTCTGTTAAAAATTGGGGGCATTACAGTTAAAAAGATTGATAACCATGCAGCTTGTTTACAAATTTTAGAGTGGTTCCCCTCCAATCCAGTAGGTGGCGATGGACTAATGCGAGTAATTTGAACTCTCACCACTGGATTACACAAGTGAAACAGTTCCTTTTTGAGTGGACGGCATGGGGAGGTTGATGGAGAAAAACAAGGAAAGAAGAGGTTGTTTATAATAGAATATTAGAGAACAAAGGGAATAGATGAGTTTTAAGTTGAGACTGGCTCCACTTCCGAAGATGCACAACTTCAAGGCGACTTTGTTAAACGTGTACGCCTGTGCACCAGGAAAAATGCATTTGTTCCCTGGTTTATGAATGTCCTAAAGGCATGCAGCATGATTTATTTTCTCTTGATTTATCATAAACTTTACATAAGTTGTTTTCTCGTGATCTATACATAATAAAATAGCTGGTAACGTCAGACAGTAAAAATAAAATAATAACACTTGGCTCCTTCTTAGGGTTTTTTCTGATTGGATAGTTAAAAACGCCTATCCCGGTGTGAAAACGCCCAGTGAACTTTTATTTTGACAACTAACTCCGGAAGTTGGTTTTCTCCGGAAGTCCTCGCTGAGTGCAAAGAGTTGAACCTGGCATCTGCAGTTGGCAAGAGTTATATGGTCAAAACTTCTAAATTTAAAAATCGCGGAAATTTAACCGATGATCTTGGAAGAAAAGCATGTTTATCAACTGGAGGTCGGAAAAGGGGAAAAATGATAAGAATGGGAAAGTCAAATGAAAAGAAGAAAGCGGTGGCGGGTAAGCACAGCTGTGTTGTGAATGGACCAGAGTGGGGAGATTCTGATATAGTGGATAGTATGGAAACAAGTCAAGGAAGCGGAAGAATGAGGTAGAAAAGAGAAAATACCTTTGAAGGGATTAGAGCAAAGAAAACCAGGCGTAGTCGAAGTTTTGAAAGAGGAGTAGAAGAGAGTGACCATGAAAGTTTGAAATTTAAAATGATACTGAGATTCGGCGAGGAGAAGGGAATATCATCAATGAGTCCAGTGAAATTGACAACTATTTTGCGAAACCAGATTGGCGACATACATATGGCAAAGGTTTTAAGAGATGGACATCTACTGATTGTTTGTAGAACTGAAGAGCAGAGGGAGAGGGCTGGCAGAATTAAGGAAATAAGACAATTTAAAGTAATAAATACAAGTCGTGTGGAAAGGGAAAATAAGTGGAGTAAAGGAGTGATTTGGGGAGTTCCGGTAGGAGTCTCAATGGAGGAAATTAAATCAAGCCTAAAAGGAGGAATTCTGAAAGGTGCTCGGTGGATACAAATAACTCGAGAGGGAGTGAGGAAAGACAGTGAGTATGTTGTACTTGATTTTGAAGAGGAATTGCTACCCAAAAAAGTGACGTTAGGATTTTTGAGCTATAACGTTAGAGAATATATTCCAAAGCCAATGAGGTGCTACAACTGCCAAAGACTTGGACATACAGCCAAGGTATGTAAAGGCAGAAGGAGATGTGCCAGGTGTGGAGAAGATCATGAATCTGGGCAATGTATGTACACACAGGGAATATGTCAGTATTGGATTTAACTTTGGTGTCAAATAATTTAGCAGGGATATGTGAGTGGGATGTAATTTATGAAACATCAGTGGGGAGTGATCATTATCCAGTTTTTTTGTAGAATATTAATACAGGAAAATAAACAACGAGAGAAAAGAATAGGGAAGTGGATATTTAACCGTGCTAATTGGGAAAAGTTTAGTTTTATTTGTGAGAGTGAATTAGACAAAATAGATTTAAGTGAAGATATTGAGGAGATTGATAAAAAATTTAAAACAGTATTGCATGAAGCTGCTAATGAGTCAGTTCCTAAAAGTAATGGGCAAATGAAGAGGAAGGTGGTTCCTTGGTGGACAGATGAATGCAGTGCAGTTGTTAAAGAAATAAATAAAGCTTTAAGAATATTAAGAAGAACTCATAATTTTCAAAACTGAATTAAATATAAGCTCTGAGGTAGTTCTTCAGTTCTTGCATAATACAGGACTGTATATAAGAATTTAGTTCAAACTTTGACCTGTGGATGGCAGTAATACGCCCAGTAGCGTCTACACTGCCGGAAAGATATAAGAAGAAGAAGAAGAAGAAGAAGGTTGATGGAGAGCCCCTTGTTATGAGCGAAAAACACATCTCCGCTTGTAGTAAGTTCAGAATACAAAGAATTCAGCGATTGTAACGAATCAGATTGTGAACTCGGTTCGCTGTAATATCTTTAAACCCGTCATTCTGCCGGCTGCATAACACGCTTGCACACAGCTGGCAGAGTGACGCCTGGGTAATGTACTGCGGCCACAGATGGCAATGTTCAGGCCTTTTCCTGCATAGTGTAACCCTGTAACTTTTCATTGAACCGGTTCTCAAAACCAGTCAACGATTCGTTCATGAACCGTCTCTTTTTGGGCAATTTGGCATTGAATTTTAATCTTGTTTATTGTAAAAGCATATTGTTCTCTACATTCCAAAATGTCATTCTTGAAAATAAAAAGCACATCGAATACGAATACATTCCAGTTGTCTGTTAATATAGGCTTCTAAATTCTTTAAAAAATCTTGAGTAAGTCAGGATCTCATCATGACGTAACAGAATGCCTCTGAATTGGTTTTGAAAGAACAGATTCAGACTACAGAAACGAGTCAGACTACAAATAGATAAATGGGATATGTCCCTGTTTAAATAGTAGACAGACAAACAGTAAGTCCTAAAGATTAGTTTTGTTTACAAGCTCAAGAATGCTGTCTAAGTAGGTAGTTCACAAGGTTTTTAATCATCATATGAGTCCTGACATTTCATTACTACTACAGAGTCAATTATCACTAAGCAGGGTTGAACTTTTGTTGTTTTTAAATGCAGGTTCTGTATATATGCTGCTCTCTGGAGTACTCCGTTTAACCTGTGCATAAGGACATCGTCCTGATACTGAAAGCTTCCTCATGGCAAATGATGCAGATATAGCAGCGGTGGGGAGGATTCTCATCAACCCAAAGCAGGACCTGACAACGCGCTTTAGAGCACTTTTTACTCTCCGCAACCTTGGTGGACCAGAGGCCATTAAATGGATCAGTGAAGCTTTTGTGGATGAATCTGCACTTCTGAAGCATGAGCTGGCATACTGCCTCGGCCAAATGCAAGACGAGCGGGCCATTCCTATCCTAGAGACAGTCCTGAAAGACACTAATCAAGAACCAATGGTCAGACATGAAGCAGGTGAAACTTACAGAGTCATATTCTTCCTTCTTTCTTTCCTTTTTTTTTTTTTTAAATATGTCATATTCAGTGTTTTTATTATAATTTAAATTCTAGGAGAAGCATGTAATTCTCTTTTCATAAAGGTGGCAGAAACATGTCAGCTGGCAGTCCGGAGGCTGGAGTGGCTCATGAATGGTGGGAAAAAGACAGCAGAGGGGACAGATGAGAACCCCTACTGCTCTGTAGACCCCGCGCCCCCTGCTGCTAGAAAAAGTGTCCCAGAACTGAGGGTGCAGCTCTTAGATGAAAGCCTGTCGCTGTTTGACCGCTATAGAGCTATGTTTGCACTGAGGAATCTTGGGACTGAAGAGGCTGTTCTGGCTCTTGGAGATGGTGAGAAAGATGCAGTGCTAGGTCACATCAAAAATTTTGAACTTTGTAAATAACAGTGTTTACAAGTTTGGGCTTGGTAAGATTTTTGCTCACCAAGGCTGCATTTACTTGATCAAAAGTCAAATAAAAACAGTAATATTGTGAAATATTATTACGTCCCAGAACTGAGGGTGCAGCTCTTAGATGAAAGCCTGTCGCTGTTTGACCGCTATAGAGCTATGTTTGCACTGAGGAATCTTGGGACTGAAGAGGCTGTTCTGGCTCTTGGAGATGGTGAGAAAGATGCAGTGCTAGGTCACATCAAAAATGTTGAACTTTGTAAATAACAGTGTTTACAAGTTTGGGCTTGGTAAGATTTTTGCTCACCAAGGCTGCATTTACTTAATCAAAAGTCAAATAAAAACAGTAATATTGTGAAATATTATTACAATTTAAAATAGCTGTGTTCTATTTCAATATATTTTAAAATGTAATTTACTCCTGTGATGGCAAAGCTAAATTTTCATGAATTTACTCCAGTCTTCAGTGTCACATGATCCTTCAGAAATCATTCTAATATGCTGATTTGGTGCTCAAGAAACATTTCCTATTAGTATCAATGTTGAAAACAGTTGTTGCCTAATATTTTTGTGGTGACATTTCTTCAGGATTTTTTGAAATGGAAATCTTTTGTAACCTTACAAATTTACAGTCATGCTTTAATCAATTTAATGCATCCTTGCTGAATAAAAGTATTATTTTCTTTCTTTTAGGTCTTCAGTGCAGCAGTGCTTTGTTCCGCCATGAGATCGGCTACGTCTTGGGTCAGATCAAACACGAGGCCAGCATCCCTCAGCTGCAGGCAGCTTTGGAGAAAACAGATGAGAACGCCATGGTCAGGCATGAGTGTGCAGAGGCGCTGGGCTCCATCGGGAAGGAGACGTGCTTACAGATCCTAGAGCGCTACAGGAAGGACCAGGAGCGGGTGGTGAAGGAGAGCTGTGAGGTGGCACTGGACATGCTGGAGTATGAGAACAGCTTGCAGTTCCAATATGCAGACGGACTGCTCAGACTGCGAAGCGCTTAGTGAAACACATTTCCTAAAACATGTTAATGTTACACAGCTGATCCATATTTCAAACTCAAGTTAAAGCATTTTGAATGCTTGAATATTTAATAAAAAACATTCTTGCAGATCTCTCTTGAAAAAACAGGAAGACGTTTACATAATAAAAGCATTTATTTGACCACATATACTTGTCTTATTCTGCCTGTAAACTCTTAACATTTTGCGTCATGAATATTTGAGATGTCACTAATCAAGTTTCTAATCATCAGTAAAGTCTGTGTGACTCATGTTAAATCCTCCATGCATGAGCAGAGGTGATTAGCAGAGCTAAGAGCGCTAGTGACGCTAGTAGACGGCAGTCAGGGAAAAACTTGCAAACATGCTACACCCCTTCATGATTGGTATTGTCACAATTAATACCTCCATCACCATTGCATACTGGATCTTCATTCTGACAGAAGCCTTTCACAAGAAGACGGACGATGAAGCCAAAAAAGACAACCATGCTTAGCCAACCCTGCATATAGTTACATGTGGGGAAGGTTAGAGTAGGATCTTCTTTTATGCCTTACATTTTTATTTAATAATATAGAAAACTTGTGGGTGGGGTGGGGTGGGGGGAGATCTTGCCATTTGAATAATCTGACCTGAGCAAATATTCCATGACTCCAACTCTCCAGGATCTGGATTACTTTCAGGTAACATAACATTTTTATTTATTCTTTTTTATTCTGCAAAAAGGAGGGGATGGGGGGGAGGGGGATAAATATAAAACAGTTTCATATTTTTGTTACCATTTTAATTTTTATTGTTTCCTAAATTATTTATTGTTTCATAATTGTTTTTTTTTTTATTTTGGAAAAGACATTAAATCACCTCTTAACAGTTTTGAAAAACGGGTTATTGCTTCATGCTACACTTCAAAAGTTGAAGCCAGTAAGTCTCTTATGCTCATCAAGGCTGCATTTATTTATTAAAAATATTATGAAATATTATTAAATTAAAAAAAAAAAAAACTTTTCTGTGTTAAAATATTTTAAAATGCAATTTATTCCTTTGATGACAGCTGAATTTTCAGCAGCAATTACTCCAGTCTTTAGTGATCTTTCAGAAATCATTCTAATATCCTGATTTGACGCTTAAGTAACATTTCTTATTATTATCAATATTACCTTATTTTCAGGATTCTAGTTCAAAAGAAAAATATTTGTAACAATAAAATTAGTTTTTCACTGAAAATTTTCAGTCACTTTTGATCAATTTAATGCATCCCTGTATTGACAACAAAAAAAAATAAAACACTGACCCCAAACTTTTGAATGGTAGTAAATGTTAGTGAAGATTTTACTTCAGATACATTTTTTTTTTAGATTATTTTAACTTTAGATTAAGTATTCCATTAAGAACATATATTTTTCTCAAAATTATTGTAAATAAACCACAGATTCCATTGTGATTGCTATTAAAAGGTCAACTGTAAAGGTCAACACGTGTTAATTGAACTATGTATTTTCCTAGGCATGTTCAATAGCTTGTGTGTAATCTAAATTTTATGGTATTTGTATATACAGTAATAAACCTACCCTGACTTGGTGGAATAAAACGTCTCGACAACTAGCCCCTTATAATTTTCACAATCTATGTAACATGCATGGAGAAAGGATTAAAGATGCGCAGGAGATGAATAATATATCAGATTTGACTCATAGAGGATCAGATCTGTCTGAATCACTGACTCAACCACACAAAAGCTCTTCCTCTGTCAGTCATTCAGTCAGTTAGACTCAGAGAGTTTGTGCAGAATCAGCCTCTGGAAGGACAACACCACAGCTGAAATTAGACATGCATCCCCTATTGATCGGCATAGTGACAGCCAACACAAGTTTGACTATTGTCTACTGGAACTTTCTTCTGTCTCAGGCTTTCTGCAAGAAGATCAAAGATGCTCCACCACCTGAGGAAATTCCCATCTGAGTAAGTATTAATGTTATGCGAGTCATTGGACTATTACTCTTACAAGATATAACTAGCTGAATCCTGCAAACAGTTTCAGCACCAAGTCTCATTACTGTACTATTTATATTTTAGATTTTATTTTATTAGTTACTTTGACAGTAAGGAATTTCATGACTTATTTCTATTCCATATAATTGTTCTTTTAAACCTTCTATTCATCAAAGAATCCTGATTGTTTTGTTTTTTTAATCAGCACAACCATTTTGGACACGGATAATGCGAAATGTTTCTTGAGCACCAAATCAGCATTTTTTAATGATTTCTAAAGGATCATGTGACACTGAAGACTGGAGTAATGGCTTCATTAAAACTACATTTTAAAATATATTAATAGTAAATTGTAATAATATTTCACAATATAACTGTTTTTACTGTATTCCTGATCAAATAAATGCAGCCTTGGCGAGCAGAAGAGACATTAAAATCTACTGACCCCAAAGTTCTGAATGTTTAGTTGTTGAGTTGAGTCACAACTGACAACAATTAAGGCTAAAACCTTTCACTGACAGAAAGATGATTATACAGTCTTATATGTCTGTAAAATTCTCTTTCTGATCTATCTGATAGTTGACTTGCAGAGCATTTTTGTGTATCATTCGTTCAAACTAGTCTTCAGTTGAGCATATTTATTTATTTTGTTTTTTTGCTCCACCCCCTGCTTTAGCTCAGATGTTGTTTTATCAGTCCATTCTCATACACTGGAAATAAAACCAACTGGAATAATTATGGCACAGTATATACATTTTCTGTTTTAGTATAACCTATACTTGGTGTATAATGTCATTTTAAACCCTTTAAAAACACACCCACTCCCTCTAGAAAGTGAACAGGAGCATCTCAGACAGGATTAGGTGGATTACAGCTAACCCTTGATTAATAGCTTTCACCTTCATGAAAGACAGCTGCCATTACCAGCAATTGAATAGCAGAGTCAGCGAGACAAAGGATTAAGCCTGGGATTAAGAGAATCATATCAGGCTACTTCAGAGCACATTCACTGGCCTTTAGCACAGAATAATGAACTCTGGTCATATTAATTTATATATCTACATTTGAAAACATTAAATTTCCTTTTACACACAGGTTGAGGCTTTGGTCGTGACCCTGGTGATGAAGAGAAAGAAGAAGAACCACCAAAGTCCATCTTTGGGAAAGTAGGGATGAGGGAGAGAAAATAAGAACAAAGGAGGAACAGACTGCCATTTGACCCAGAAGTGGACGGATAGAAATTGTGCCAGGATTTAAATCTTCTGTATTTCACAAATCATGAGGTTAAAAAGGTGTCACTGAATAGGTTTATGAACAACCCTCTCTCTCTTTCATCCATTAGGCCATGTCCACAAGCCCCAAATCTCTCGTTCAATCACTAAAATCCCCCCAAAAAATCTATCTTTCTTTGTCAGTGCTGCTCATTTCCACCTGCTCTAAGTTACCAAAAAATACAAAGCTTATGTGTTTGAATTGAAGTCTGTAGGCGGGAGATGTTTTTTATTTGTATTTTCGTGTTTGTTTCACTATATTTAGCAAATAGCTACACAGGTTTTGTGAAAATCTATCTGTCTTACTCTTCTACATGTGTCTCATTCCCTCATTAATAAATGAATACAACATAGAGCGCTGGGTTGTTTACATGGCAATTGTTATCTTGTACTTTCTGATCCGGATTAGCATGATTAGCATGCGCTGGCTCCGGCAAGATGTTTAGCACAGATAGAGGGTGCTGTGTGCTCAACATAGAGGACATACTTCTGTTCTCCAAAGTCAATGAAAGCACAAACCTTATTTAAGTTACATGCAATTTGTTCATCCTGTACTGTGATCCACGTGGCCATGTGTTTGGGCTTGCGGATATGTCCAGTTGTTACATTAAGAAGTTGCTGCTACATGATCTAACTTTGGTTGGTGTATCGTAATGAAGTCAGGACATTCAGGGATTTAAGATTAAGTCTGTTTTGATTTCACAGAAAACTATGTTTTAGAAATTTAGGCCTGAACTGAATCTGAACTGAATATCATGACAAAGTTACAAATGACTTTTCATTGACGTCACTGGTTACGTTGCACTTTAAAATACGCCAACAGGAGTTGAGAGGCAGACACCTATTAGAAAAAGGCTAAATCCAGGCTCAAGGCTTCTCCTTACGCCACTAAGCACATTAGCTTGATTGTCTTCTACAGTCAAAGTATCAGGTCTGAGGTAAGTCCTGTCACAGCCACTAATGAAGAAACAGCCAATCAGGGAAACCATCATTCTATGACATACTTTGTTGTGATTCTGTGAATATGCAGCGAAAAGGAAGAAGTCTAATGAGCATTCAGCATCAGAGATAGAGAGAGGAGGAGGGCGAGACAGATGACGGGTGTCTGTCAATGAGGAAAAATGCTTTGCAGGGTATGTACATAACATATTATCTTATTATCTGACCATAAACATAGCTAACTTATACTGACTTTCAGATATAATGTATCTAACCCTACCTCTAATCACTAGTTCATCTCTAATCTTAACCGACCCAAAATAATAAATAAAGACATAAATATAGACAATAGAAATGGTTACATTTATAACATTCTATATATAGCCTATACTCTATACTACCATTCAGAAGCAATTCAAGTAATAGTAATAAAAGTTATTTGCATTAAACTGATCAAAAGTGACATTTATAATGTTTGAACTTTCTATTCAACAGATTTTTTTTTTTTGATAATAGTAAGAACTGCTTTTTGAGCACCAAATCAGCATTTTAGAAAGACTTCTGAAGGATCATGTGACACTGAAGGTTGGAGTAATGGCTGCTGAAAATTCAGCTTTACCATCACAGGAATACATTACATTTTTAAATATACTAAAATAATAAAAAGGAGTTGACAGTTAAATTGTGATAATATTTGACATTACTGTTTTACTGTATTTTTGATCAAATAAAGGCAGGCCTGGTGAACATAGAGATTTATTTCTACAACATTCAAAACAAAAATAAATAAATTGTATCAACAAATTATACATTATTTTCAATAAATGTTTACTTTTTATTTTCATACAGATCAACAGGAAATGTATGAAAACTGATAAGCTGTTGTTACGTGGTTAGACTCAAAGATGCAGTGGAGTAAACAACGATACTTATGGATTTAGACAAAAACAATAAAAGTCTTGATGAGGACTTTTTCAAGGACAGCAAACCCACAGAAAATGATCCGCTCACTCTACCCAAGCATGTCATTTATAGCATAGGAGTCACCGTTTTCGCCATCATAAGACACCTCATCCAATATCTCATCCATGATCTGGCAGGTATGTAACAAGATACCTTACAAATGTCCATGCTCTCTTTCCCCTTAAGCAAGTACAAACCGGGGCGCCGCTGGGCCCTATGAAAGAAAATGAAGTTGGGCCCCCTACAGCACCAAACATACAAGCCAACCTAGTTATCCAAAATCTTTGATTTTGTGGGGGATTTTAAACAAAATCTTAATATTAAACAGCCCAAACATTTATAGATGAACATACAAAGTAATGAAGACAGCGTTATATAAGAATTAATATATATTTGTGCTTTTGTGATTTTAGCTCAATAATATTTTTTTTCTTTAATATTTGTATTATTTTAAGGGGATTTTACTAAATATTAACCTCTAAATTATTATTTTATAATAATTAGGCCAGAGGCAACGAGTGACACACAATATCTCACGGTTCTCAACCAATCAGATTTGAGAACCAGAACGAACTGTTGTATAAATATAAATACATATAACCCTTTGCTGCAGAGTGAGAACTTAAGACATAAAGCATGTTACTTGTATCAGGTTATTCACTGATATATTTTCAGACATTATTAAAGATTACATTTAGTTAAAGTTGAAATTTAAAGGGGTCATATGATGCGATTTCAATTTTTCCTTTATGTACAGTATGTGGAAAATAATGTGTTTTTTGAACCTTAAACCGCATAAACACATTTCATTACACCAAATACACAAAATAACGTTCTTTTTAGCAGCATCATATGACCCCTTTAAATGTTGATTTGAAGTGTCAGTTATTAAATCTGGACAGAGAAAGCATTTTATTAGGCTACTCATACTAGCTACAGCGTGATCAGTCACACGGAAGTCATCAGAATAAATATTGGCTCAGTGTGAGCAGGGCAATATTTTAAAACATAGAACTGAGTGTTTACATACCATGAACAGAGACGTTCTGTGGTTGAGATGTGTATCCTATTTGAAAAAATCTGCATCGCACTCAGCAACTGGTAAACTGAGATTCCAGTAGCTTTACTGTCTGGCATGATAAAAAGGCTATACCAAGCACAGTGCTTCGAGCCATGGTGTTGAGCATTATCAAATTTAGAGGCTACAATGCATAGTTTTCAGTCACGTGACTGGCTCGAAGACCTGTTGGACAAAACATCCATAGAATTGCAGCAAAAGCTTGTCAGCTTTTTGTTTCAGCCTCGTGCTTCATCCTCCATTCAATCAGATGTTAGCGGCAGCTTTTCTCCTCTGAATGCTAACACTAATGTACTTAAATCTTTTTCAAACTAACACCCAAGAATCCATTGTGTCAACTATGTACATACAGGTTGTTCTTCCTTTTCTTCTAAAAGACCTCATGAAATAGTTTGGCACATTTCTGTCCATTATTGAAATACTTCCTTTTGAAACAGGAAGTTGGGATGTATCAAATGGAAGATGAATAGAAGACAATTTGCTAGTCAGCAGCATGTGGTCTCAGGGGGCAGGAAATTATCATTCCAGAGAGAATTTGATTGGACAAAAATTTTGCAAGATGAGTCATCGTTATTTTTCCTCTGCTTTGCCCATTAGAGAAAGACTGTCATTTTTTTAATGTGTATATCTGCTCAAAGTGAAATTTATGAGAGCAGTAGCATATAGCACACATATAAACACACATGGTCTAAATATTACAACGAAACTCTAATTTTGAATAAATGAAGTGTTTTATATATTTTTTATTGATTTTTTTGGACATACTGTTGCACTATATCTAGTTCTTTTGTGAAATATCAATAGCCAGGTTTTTGTGTCTATGAGCCCTTACAGCAGTTTAGACTGGCATGACCTTCAGTTCTGTGCCAGCCTGGAAAGTAAATCTTTTGTCTTTACAGCATAACAGCACGTAACATATTCAGTGGGAGATTGTGTACGAATAATCATGCACACTTACTCTCTGAGTGACACGCTGTGATTTCTGATCTCTCTAATGGATTTTGTACTTTGGACACCAAGAATCCTTCACATATTTACAGACAACTAAGAGGAACGCAGCAGTGCATGCGGACTGTAAATTCATGTTTCATCTACAGAATATTGTTGCCTTCATAATACTCTTTGCCTCCATTTGTCAGGCTCAAGCTGGTGAGTGATTTGTCATTTTTGCCTTCCTTTCTCCCCCAGCAGCGCCATTATTGTACATTTCAGTATCGTACATTTCAATTGACTAGTTTTTCTTCTGTTTTTGTTTACTAAATTTTACCTCCTTGAATTGATTTAATATATAAAAGTTGTATAACCTTTATGTGATACAATGTTATACTCAAGGTGGTCAACGGGCATCATCAGATACAGCTAAAGTCACATTACAGCCGTGGCTGGTGGGACTGACAGCCGTTGTTGTTTTTCTCTTCATTGTCTTCGTCCTCCTCATCATGCAAAGACTCTTTTTCAAGAAAGACAAGTGAGTACTGACCTGAAATGTTTCAGGACAATATATGCTGTACATTACGTCATGATAATAAAATCTACATAGATCATAAAATACATGATTCTTCTTTTTTACATAACTTTTACAGTACAGTGAATTTTATTTAATGCTTGAAATGCGTGATACACATTTTAGAGTTTCGAAATAGCAGTAATACTTCTAGTTAAAGATAGTTAGATTAGTCATGATGGTGATGAGGAGTTTATGGTTCTTGAAACAATTACTGACATTTTATGACTTCGAGATACTGTCAAGGCCACGTTCAGACACCTGACATTCAAGATCAGCCAAGACACACCTAAAGACATAATGAACAAATACATATCACATGTTTAAACATTAATGTAACACTTTGACAATATATTTTTATTGTATACAATATATACACTACTGTTCAAATGTTTGGGTCAGTAAGATTTCTAAGAAAGTAATACTAATGATACTAACAATATTAATGTATAATGTTACAAAAGATTTCTATTTCAAATAAATGCTTTTGAACTTTCTATTCATCATAATAATCTTGAAAATAGTCAATCTATTTG